GAAAGCAATTTTAAGGAACATAGGAAAAAATCCTTGTCGAACTCAATAGAATATTATATTATAACATTTTATTGAATCAAAATGTAATATAAACGAATGTATTTAACCAATAATCTAATAGAGATATATAAGAAAGAAAATGAACTCTTTAGATCACTGGTTAGTCTTCCCAAAAGCGTGTCTAATTACGCAAAATACACAGCATTCGATTTTCAAAAAGATTGGTTATTATGTCATGACGTATTTACACCAATGAATTATTTACCATAAATTTGAAATAAGATGTTAAATTAAACGGCAGTTTACACGTACCATTTAGTTAAGGATAAGACGAAATTAAACCAAAGTTATTAACACAAATGCGTTAGTTAATTGGTTAGGTTATCGAAACGTCAGTTGTACTTGATTTCCGTTGAATTAACATTCAGGTAGCGTTAGCAATACGCGGTGTCCGCCACTTTACCGGCGACTCAACAAACTCAATCACAAACAAACAATGCAATTACTTTTGTCTCTAGACTTTATAGTTATCTGTCATCTGTCAGTTTTTTCTATAATTTGTTACCTTTTTATGGAAGACAAAGGAATAAAGCAAATTGTAATAATTATTGCTACACAATATTATAAATAATAATGAACATTAAAACACATACCTTTAACTAAAACTTATTAAAAAAAAGAAAACAATCCTTACTATATACGTCAAAGAAAGGTTATAAAAACTGCTTAACACGAAATACCACTATAAGTAAAAAATATACAGCGTGTCCCAAAATTCAACGATAAAACGGTAATGGTGGATAGCGAATAAATACACATATGTAAATATATATATGTTTACATAATTGAGAAGATTTTTTACGAAAACTTAGAAATTATAGAGGTAGTGTGAACTAATGTTATGTTTAGAACAGTGCAACGTGTAAGATAGTAATGCCACAAGAAGCAGACTGCATCCACCGTTACGAGCAACTCTACAACAGTTTATAACAGATTGGAATTGCATAACTGAATCCCACATCGCATATTCAGTTTACTACTAAACTAAACATATTGAGCGTTTCTGAGACCAAAAGTTCGTTTAAAAAATATTGTTATATCTGTTAATGAGAGGGATGATATGTTTTATGTAGAGATTTTTGTCTCAGAAACCAATTTTAAATCAATTTGAGACGCTTTTAAGTTTTTTTAAATATCGTCCTTATATAGTTACTTCATGCCTGTGATTGCGTAACGTAGTTAAATGGGAAAAATACTAAAATACAACGAACAGCTAGCTTAATATAAAACAATAATTTTATTAACAGATTATCAGATTTATTTCTGTATCTTAGGGAACGTACCCATACTACGTGACTCGTTTAGCGGGGCGGGGGGGAGTCTTTAAAATACTACGGTCAGTCACAGGAGCGGGGGAGTGGCCCACGTTTTTGTCACGTAGTCGTTAGTTATTCATTTTCGTAATACATAATTCATTAGTAATTTAAGTATGCATGCAGTCTTAAAAAAACTTAGAAAAAACTAAAAAAAAATAACTCACGTAGCATGGGTATGTTCCCTTATCAATGATACCGATCTACAGAGTGTAAAAATTAATATTCTTGTTACTACTATTTAAACGATACAAAATTATAAAAGAGAGCTTCTTTATGTATTCGCCAATAAGACGCAAGGCTAACGTAAATGCAGACGTCATTGGCAATGATCGTTCCTTAGGTCAGGTGTCAAGCAACTGAGTCAGACGACGTGCCGAGAATACAACTAATACGTAGCTAAGTATGCATTAAGCACGCTTAACTTAAACTTATAGGAAGGAAGAACTAGAGAGTTTACAATATTAGTAGCACAGTAAAAAAAAAAAATGTTACTACTGCCACACTCAGAGTCTTATTAATGATAACTAAGGGGTTGCTTAAGATATTATTAAATGACTTATCTTCGGTTTTGCTCACTTGTATAAAACATATTGTTGTTTCCATTTTATCAAAGTTAATGAGAAGGATGACTATATGTTTTCTACAGGAATTTTGGTCTCAGAAATGAACGTGACAGTTAGACGCCATTCCTAGTTTCTCTGTAATACTAGCCTATTAAGTTGTTTATTTTTCATCATGTTAGTCATGTATTAAATAAAAGATACTTACAAACAAACTGTTAGCTGTTGAATGTAATGTTAAGTATGACGCAAGTATTATTTGATGTAAAATTGGCAAGGAGTCAACAACGCAATAGCATAATATTAAGTAATCGTTTTGACATAAATACCTACGTTACTTACAATGCTATTATAAACTCCTAATCCCAATACTAAGTTAGGGAATCAAGAGAGTTTTCAAAAAATAAGTCATGACGATATCAGAGTCGGTAAGAGGCTCTGCTATCGCAGTCTGCTATCGCAGACAGAACTCTGTCACAAAATATGTAAAACCTACATGAGCATAAAAGAAAAAAAAAACTTGACATGAGAGTTACACACTGATCTTTATAAATGGTCTGGCTATAAGGCGTGGTGTTTTGTGCCTATTTGTTTTTCGACATTTTGGCACTGATGCTTGGTGTTTGTGGCGGGGATGTGGATTCAAACTACTAATATAGATGAGTTAATGGCACGTAATATTAACGGGCGCAACGAAGCAAAGGCTGTGATTTTCAGCCAATCGTTTATTAGTGGAGCTACGGAACATTAATTATCTTATGACATTTTTTGACATTGACAGGGTGGCGTTACTGAGCTGTCATAATTTAGTTTGACTTATGCCCAACGCGTCAGATGTCCTTGGTATATAAACAAATAAACAGAAAGATGTTAGTCTCTTAGACAGAATATGTCAACACTTCAGGGTCAATTAGAGGTCTTTTTTGTCGTTTTCAGCGAAAGAAGTAACTTCTAAAATACATTTATAAGCTGCAATAGAGCACTGTAAATTAGAATTTCAATACAAGCAATCGAAATATGATACATGAACATTTTTTCATTGAATATTGAAAATGGTAAAGAAGTAATTCAGTGCCTAGAAATTAACTTGAACTTAAGTTAACTTAACAAAGGCTGTTACTAATTGCTACAATAGTCTGGGAAAATTTCTGTATTGATGATTAAATCCTTCTAGCCGTAGGTCATGAATACTAAAGTTAATGCGTCATTTTCATAAACACTGCAACCTTTTTTAATAAACAGATTTTTTAAAAACAAAAAGATTATATTGTTGAATATTCCTACAAAGAGTTTAACTAATCTAATTAATAGGTTTTAAATGATGTCAAATTGTTGACCCAAATGAAAATGGCTTTATCAAATTCAATAGGATAGCCTGTAGGAAACGTTTAAGCCTGTAAATTAATTTGTTGCCTGTCCTATCGCCTGTTAAATTGGACGTTGGATCAGGCCTTGTGTCTGAGAGTACAGGATGTTTCTTTTTTAATAATGTTACTTTACAATTAAAATTATTGTGCGGATTTTATGTCGTTTATTTAATTGTTATTTTCAACAAATTTTATATGAAATATTTACGTAAATAAAAGAAATCAAAATGATAAATACATTTGTAAATATAGAACATTATAAATAAACGTTCGAATTTAATTTGACTAATTCTGAAATATTAGATGCAATATTAATTTAAAAACCTTTAGTTATGTTCGTGTTCGTAAAAATTTCCTTGCGTTTACTTTGTAGACAGGTGGATAGAGTTGAGCAAAAAGGTGTTACTTTTGAATTTTTATTGTAAGAAAAACCAGTCCGTGAACAAATCGTTTTTACAGCGAGCTCCTTTTTTGCATAACCTGACCGAAAACACTTAAGTTTTTATTACATAATGATTTCTTAAGTGTTTTAAAAAGTAATAATTACAGTAAATTAACTACAGTAATTCTTTTCGTATAGAAATAACAAACCACAATATATTTGACATAATTCGTCATAAAACATATGCAATAAGGTATGCATCTTACTAATATTATGAATGCGAAATATTAGATGCATGAATATTAGAAAGTATCTCCAGATCGGCTCCATGAATTTCACTGAAATTTGGCATACATATGGAACATAGTCTAAAAGAAAACATAGGCTACTAATTAAGTTTTTTTTATCACGCGCACGGAGGTGCAGGCGAAGGCTAGTTAATAATAAGGTCAACAGCAATATAAATAACACTATTTATTTATCAAAACACCAAAAAAACATCCTGTGTTAAGGAATACGAAACAAATGACAATCGAAATCGGTTTAGTCGTTTAGGGTAAAGGCGTTTACAATAGAACTTTCATACATTCAAACGCGAATGTATGAAAACACATATATGTGAGAAATATTACTTTTCTAAGACCGATAACAAGTCAAGAAACATTTTAAGGATATCTTGACAAACAGTGATATTTTGTAAACGTGAAATAAGAATATGTAGATGTATGAAAAAGTATTGTGATTCTTAAATTGAACTACCAACCAAATTGACATATGCTAGAGGTAAAGATACTTTTAAAGGCTTCTAGCGAAAAAAAGGACCATTTTCTTGTATAAATTTTCAAGGCGGATACAAATTAGCACCTTGGTCTATTATCATAATTTAGTATTTGGCTTTTTTACGTATACAAAACTTTATTTGTTCATATTTAATTGAATAATTTATAATTAGAGTAAATCGCGAACTAAAAATGAATTTTATAATTTTGCAAAGTAAATTTCAAAATTGCACGGAGCTAATTAGAACGGCTTGCTTTGTTTTTTTGTCACTTTAACTGCACAGATAAGCTAAAGATCATAAACATTTTAATTTTTTTTCACGAAGCTAATGCCCTACTTTTGTATTATAAATTAAAAAAAACTTATATTAATTGTGTTCTACAAACGCAAAAGGTTTTTGCAATTAAACTTAGTAATTGATACATCTAACTTAATAAACTGCAACATAATACCGCCACCCGACTTCACTCGCCTTTCGAATCGAAGCCTCAAGGCTGTATTCACTTACAATATGAAATTAAATTTAAATACTCACAGTAGGAAAATCCAAACTCCAATTTTATTATTAAATCACTTCACGGTTGTATTGAAAGAATAAAAAAACGATTTTATATTTTTATCGTCACTATTTTCATTGGCGATGACACATGTGCTCTCGACTGAGTTCCGAAGAGGACTGAGGCGCCCTCTCGCGCGAGGAGAGGGGCTGACCCTCTGTACCGCGATACGGCACGCGTGATTAACTTAGATTTTATATGCATTACTCGTATTCAGAGATCCCTGACGGAGACCGCATACGACACAATCCTTAACAAACTTCCTGTATTTCAGATTTATAACCTAAAAAGTCCTACCTACCTACTATCTATCATCAGTCAGAAAATATTGACTAATTTAAGTGATTAATTCTAGAAGTGAATAGGCTGTAGCGCTGATTTGATGAATCATTAGAAGTCCAGCCAACATAAAGATAATAAGTATTTCTATTGTTTTTGAGTAACTGAAAGTTTACATGCAAGGAAAAAACCTTTGAATATATTGAAGAATTTTATTGGAAGAGCTACTTAGTAACAGTTAAGTAAATAATAACCTTCTCTGAATGTAGCAATACGCACTATATAATTTTATGAATAATACTACCTGCCAACCGTGACACCGGCCACGAAAAAAAAAATAGTAGCCTATGAGTTCTTCCATACAGTTTATATATGCCAAATTTCATCGAGATTTGTTCAGCCGTTCTGGAGATACCTTCAAACAAACATCCCTCCATTTAAACATTCGCAGTTATATTATTAGTCAGATAAAACTAACCTTTAATTTTTAACCACAGAAACAGCTTATCATTGATACGTGCTTATTCCTTGCTTATTATAAAATAACTAGTATTTTTAAATAGACGGCTTTTATCACAATGATTCATTGTTTCAACAATAAAATGTTTAGTTATGAGGCTCGACTATTGTAGCATATTGTGCAAGTGCTGCTTATCTTAACAGACCTACCAACAAAAGAACATAGAATAGGTTAATAAGAAGAAAAAAAGAGTTCAGTAAGTCTACTCTAAGAAGGTTTTTTATTCTTAGAAAAATAAATTGTCTATGTCCCTTTTTTCATAGAGAAAAAGATGAATATGTATTTGAGAAATATAAGTACAAATAAATGTAACATTCAAATGTCTTTGACATACTGAAGTTGTGAACTGGTCTGTTAACAAGTTCAATCGTAACGCAATTAATGTTCAAACTCAGTTTAACTAACCCTAATTTTAACTATAATAACCTAAATAACAAAAGCTGAGGAGCTAAACAAAGTGCATTCGCTGACACGCGACAATCACGTGACTTATCGAAAGTTATTGTCAGTTCTATACAATTTTGAAGTTCGTTTTAGAATCGTTTCCTAGCGAATGCACTTTGTCTAGCCCCGCTGTATCTTTTTGTAACTAAATAATAATGTATTATTTGATACGGAACCCACTTACGTATGGTAAAACTCGCATTCACATCAAATGTTTCATTTATTTTTAGTTTTCACGTTCAATGGCACACACAGGCGCTGCTTGCTATCAGCAACTCAATTTTTAAAGCTTGCGACATCCTCTTAGGGTGAAGAATAAAAAAGAAGACGCAAAGATAAAGAAAGACCGTTAAAGTGAGACAAAATATACATGATATGTTATACCTTCACATAACACAATTTGCTTTACGAACCTACGATGGTGTGTGTACGAACGAACGATTTTATTCTGAAATCTTACTAATCTTAGCCGTATAAATGCAAAAGTTTTCATAGATAGATGTTTGTTTGAAGATATCAACGTCGAACGAAGATAGAACAAAGTCCAGAAGAACACTTATTAAGTTTTTTTTTAATTCCGCGCGGACGCAGTCGCGGCCGACAACTAGTTGAATCTGGCATATACGTAAGCCTCTCCCGAGCTCACACGATATCCTAAGAAAACATATGCAAATAGTTATAAAGAGAAATGAAATATGTACTCAGATTCGTGTCACTAAATCAAAATACAATACCATGCAAGTACCAAGAATATTCTCAGATGTTTCCTAAAAAAAATTAAGTATAGCGATGAATTTTCATTAGTTAAAAAGTTTTTTACGTAGGCATGTTCGATGCTCGTAGTTGTGTGCGGATGCATTTCGTGATTACTCTGGAGTAGCTTGCGGCGCGGCGGTCGCGAGATTAGATTGAACACAAAAGCGGTAAAAGCGGAACTTGGCTGTATATCCTAGTTTATTGCGATTTAAAAGAGTTGATTCTTAGATTTTGAAGAATTTATTTTATGTTTCGATATATTCGAAAAAACTCATTTCTTATTATTGTGACAAATTTTGTAACATATAAGCATTTCTACTGTTATGTAAATTTTCATCTGCTACAATTATATATCTAAAGCAATACAATATACTTTTTAAAATCAAGGATTCATTTTAAATGTACCATTTAACTAGATCTGTCAGTGACAGAGTCAGCTGTGACCTTGTTGGGCCAAGTTTGGGCAAAGCGAATGCTTTCGTTACATCGTTCCGCTCGAATTGTCACGTTATGAGATATTTACATGTCACGGGACGATGACTGTACGACTTCAATTGAAGATGAAGAATAATTAGAAAGAGCTTTAATATGGTTACAACTTCTTACAAAGACTGGGTTGATGTTTGCCCTAAAGAGTTATTGATAAGGACCTGAGATGACACTATAATATAAAATCTTCCAGTTTAAGTCACCAAATAAAACGTACCAAAGCCAAAGCAGCGACGAAAACACTTCGAATAATATTTTCTTATTAGGCGAATCTCTTATAATTAATTTTCTATTAACTGAAATTAACTACGTAAATATTAAAGTAAAATGTGCATTAAATATTAAATTCGCATCTAATTTGTAACAAAGTTTCATAGACGAAGACTTTACCGAACGGAAAGGTTCTGTCGGGAACGAGGCCGATAATGGCCAAAGTTAGGTCGATTCACAATCGGTCCTCTGCTGGGGGATGTTAAGCTCCTAATAATGACCTCCAACAGTTTGCAGACTTTAAAAGTTTCTGTTTATAAAAAATATATTTTTTATGAATTTAGTATTTATTCCTCTTGTGTCGGAGGCCAAGACCCACTTTGGGTCGATGCGCCAGCGGAGTAAATAAGTAGTATTTATTTCACTACGATATAATTAAAATGTGTTTTAGCAATCTAACTTCTGACTGATATCATAAATGCCAATGTTTTGCTGGAAGGATGGATGTTTGTTTGAAGGTATCCTCAGAACAGCTTTATAGATCTCGCTGAAATTTGGCATAGATGCAGAACATAGCCTGAAACAAAACATTAGCTACTTTTATATTCCTAGCGGACGAAGTCTCAGGCGACAGCTAGTGAAATATAAATAGATTTAATTCAGCGCGTTTAAATTAATATTATGTGGCCGTGTCATACATATACGTAGGTGTACAAATATTTAATTAATTCAAGTAATTTGCCACTAATTTAATTCCACACCCCATTATTCGCGCCCCTATTTTGCATATATTAATGTTTTATATTATGTAATTTTAATTAACCAAATTAATTAAACTTATTGTGTACCTAAAGAATTTAAAAAAAGAACATGTGAAAACACAAACACGACTTATAGGATGATATTTTTCTTTTTTATTTTCATCGAAAAGATTTTGATTCTAGAGATATTGTGAAAAATACGATTTGAAATGTAACTATGACTAGATTAAGGTACACGTCCATTACACGCATCTAAAGCACCGCATACACGGCACGTCGAAATCATATAAAGCTAACTAAAATCTGTTCCGGGCCGTGCGTGCGATGCGTCCGGCGCGGGACAATGGACGGGTACCTTCAAACTCTTCCATCGTCATATTTTAAGACAAGAAAATATTCACCGAACATTTTCTTTGATAACTTAAGTATCCCTTAGTTTATTTTAGTTCAATCTTACAAAGTGCAATATTGACTAGAGACATACTTTGTTGTTTTTGCCACCCCTGAAATTCCTTAATTTTTCTGCATCAGAAAAATAAATTGAAAGACATAGAGATAAGGTACAATTTACAATGCCTTTATGATGTTGAACCTAATGCGATACGGGGATGCTAATGTGGGGTGATAAAGAAAAATGTCAACATTAGTATGAATTTCGACGCACCCTGAGTATCCAGTGTCGACAGACACCCCTGTCTACTATCGTATGCAGCAGTTTGTTTAAAATACAATAAGGGATGGTTTTATTGTAATTTTTACGAGAGAATAAAAAATAAATGAAAATGTTCTTATTGAAATATAGATGGCTCTGCGTCAGCCATATTATCATTTTAAATGTAAAATACCTTTCAGGCGTTACGTTTTTTTCACAGCTTAGGAACAAAACACGCAGAACTAACTAGATTTTTTATATGTTAGAAAGTAAATACATTTACCGTAAATTAATGTCGATAATGTTTTTAAATAAAACTTTTTACACCTTTAGTTCGTAGACAATACCTAATTGTCTTTGGTAACAAATATAACCAAGTCAGCAGAGTTAACAAATCGTTTTCCGTAGATGTCAGACAGTTTTATGGTCCCCGCGTTTAGGGTCGGCTGTTAAATCGATTTTAACTCAATTAAGGGGAAACGGAATCGAACATAAAATTGTAAGGGACACTGAATTCGTTGTCATTTACTCTGTAAAATTAAATGTTAATTAAAAATACCCTTATTTTTAAATTACAATAATAAATGACTGAACTTAAATACAGAAATTAATATTTTACGAAATGATGGAGTCAATAGTTTACTTGTATACCAATAATCATGAATTATATAACTGGTTGCCTTCATTTATAAAATAGATATATGGACCCTTTTAGCTTTAATTTAAGGGGGTTTAACATGAAGGATAACACGCCACATCTGCTGACACACCCTATTGTTTTCTCTTCTAATTAATGTCCCCCATTTTAAGAGCATATGGACATCTGTGGATGTGTACAGATGGACAGCACGCACTAAAACAAAGTTTAATTAATTGTAAATGAAATTAAACTCTTAAAAGTTATCTATTTCCGTAATAATTCCCCATCAAAATCAACCTTATAAATCAATCAATGCTAACTTCTTTCATATGTTATTAATATAATATCCGTAACTAATAAAAATATACAAGAAAAGTCGATAATTTCTATCTTTTGAAAGATATTTCATTACCAACAACATGCGCCATCTAGCGTATTTAGGAAGGAACTTATAGCTAAGAGTATGAATTTTAATTGAAACAATAACAGACATAGGTAAGAGGAAATACCAAAAGTATTGTCTGCAATATTATACGCATGAAATATTTGTACTACGTGAAATGAACCGATGACAAAAGTGTTTAGAAAAAGATTCGAGCGTGTAATTCACCGTAAATGTTTTTGATATATAAGACGGCTCGTGTTCCATTTATTTTAAGAAATTATCTTTGTTAAAGATGTTGAAAACAAAGTTATTTATTGAGTTTGTTTTGTCAATTTTGGTAAGATACTTTTTATTTTATTTCTTTAATTTATGGCACTACTATTTATCTATGAAATTAGCAGGAATTAATTATTATATATTCTGTGTGTTGCAGATTTTGTCACTGGTTTTGGAGAACGAAGGTAAATTTATTTTTTAAATTCAAGGTGATCTGTACTATTTCAAAACCAATATTAATAAAAATCACTTATTTTTTAAAATTTGTTTTTTGGTCAAATACGCAATCACAAATAATAACAACGCCTGTTGAAATATAATAACCAAATGATAATTGCTATTTTTAGCGAGTTCGTTCAGAAACCATTTCTGAAAAAGTTTATAAAAACATATTTAAGTAATTGTTAAATTATAAATTTAAATATCATTTTTTGTAATCAGTTGAAGCAGCGCCGGAGCCATGTGGCGAATTCTTCAGAATGCTGAAACACGAGCCGGCAAAAGACGACATAAAAGATAAAGAGGAAGAAAAGAAGAAGAGGAAGGAAAAGAAAAGAAAAGAAACATTAAAACTTATCGAGAAATGTGAGTATTGATTTACTTTTTTACTATAGTTCTGGTCCCGCAACTATTCAAAAAACTCTACTTAATTATATTTGTACATGAAAAAAATTAATATTCTGGTTTGTTTCAGTTTTCGAGGATCTATGTAAGTACTAGCTTTAACCCGCGACTTCGTCCGCGCGGAATGAAAAAAACTTAATTAGTAGCCTATGTGTTTTTCAAGACTATGTTCATCTATATTAAATTTTAGCGATCCGTTAAGTCGTTCCGGAGATACCTTCAAACTATAATAACATCCATCCAAACATTCGCATTTATATTAGTAAGAGAGTAAGAATGTGGTATAAATATAACCGCTAATTATTTGCAGTTTTTTTTAAATAAAGATAAAAGAGGCAGAAACTATTTAGGTTATTTAACGTTAAGATTTTTCTTGATTTCCGGTCAGTACTGCCTTGGGGTTAGCGGACGCGAGAAGCTGAAAACACAAACCTAACGGATGCAGCGGTCGGAAACTATATTAAATTCTTATCCAATATATTTATGTAAATCAAAACCAAATAAAGTTGGAAACGTTTGAGTTTTTTTTTTAATGAACCTGTAATTTTACATACTTTATACTTAATATGAGTCCGTGAGTTCCAAAACTAATATTTAACAATTTCCTTGTTGTTTTCACAGATTATTATTGACGGAGAAACATTTCGTAGTAAATAAAACAAAAAAAAATAAAATTGGTATTAATTTTAATCAGACTCATTTCACAACGTAAATTGAGAACTCATTATACAAGCATTTATTGTACAACATAGGACCAATACAAAATGTTGGCTGTTGGCTGTTGGCCCATGTTGGACAACAAACGTACAAACACACAAACACGACACACGGTGTCGCAACATAACATTAAATAACATACATGAGCGCGATTCCTTTATATACATACATACACACATCTGTCATTACTTATAACATAAGCCAAGGAATATTGCATATCTCACAATTAGGGTTGCAACGATACTTTTATAATATCGATATTTATTCAATATAAATTCGATACAGTTTTTATCAATACACAATTATTCTTAAAAAAATGTGTTAAACAAATATGTTATACAACTTAAATCATTTGCTAAATCAGTTACTTACATGTAAAAATGGCAGTATCGATATCGATAAATATCGATATAGTGCATCCCTAATAGCAAAATGAGCCAATCCCGTGTGTTACAAAGTAAGTGACGACGTAATATATCGGATAATTCGAGTGTTCCACACAGTGACATGTATATAAATAACAGATACTGGATAGAATAAAACACACACAAAATGGCGGCTTGTTAGTGTCGGGTCGGCGCGCACTTAGTACCGGCGGTACGTATTGTCTCTAACTCACTACATTACTAATCTACAGCTCGTCGTGTTCATCCTGGGGACAAAGATAACGAAACATTAATACTAAACAACTAAAACAGAACTACAAAAGTACTAATGTAATAAATATAACAATGATTACAGTTGTCAAAATGAAACTAAAGAAAAAAAAACTCTTTACAATCTTATAAAAAGATAAATTAGACTAGTTAATTCCCACTCTTAAATAGGTCACATAGCATTGACTAGGATTAAAGTTCTCAAAGTAAACTTACAACAGGCGCCGCTTCACCGGCTTCCTCATCGAGATCTTCATCATCCTCCTCATCATCAGGCTTCTCCGCCTTCTCCTTCTCCCTCTCGGCCTCATCCTGCTCGTTCTTCATCTTCTTCTCACCCTCTAAAGTCTTCTTAAGTGCTTCCCCGCGCTCCTTGGCCACCTCCAGGTCGTCGGTGATGAGGAAGTTGTCGAAGATGGTGCCAGACTTGACCTGCCACAGGTCCAGGCCGACGGCGCAGAGTTCGTCCCTCTTGTACAGCTTGGAGTCGGCCGTGTATTCAGGGTTGTCGATCTCGGGGTGCACCCACGGGCCTTTGTATGCAGGGTTGTCGATCTAGAAACAAAATATTTTTTGTTAAATAAAAAATCGGTATTGTAAACACAAATAGTTTTACAACCAGTAGTAAAACTATTATACATAATTAAGGAAATTAATCATTAATTAGTAAATCAAATTACAGGATTGGAACAGGAAATTAAAGACGATTTCTAAAACATTTAATATTTCGATTTCTTTGTTTCCCTCAGTTAAAACGTAAAATAATTCTTATAAGTGCCAATTTACACATACAATTTTCAAATCACGAACTCGACTTGTCTAACTGTCAAAAGGTGAATGAACTTTGAGTAACCTATTACCGCTCTTACGAAATTGTATGTTCAAAAATTTGCATCTAACTGTCACATGCTAATATAGATCTTATGTTAACGTGACAAGGTGCATATTAAAAAGTCCATAACCTTATTAGTCACATGTGACAGAAATGAGTCAATGCTCTTGTGTTGGTAGAAAGTTTGAATTAAATTCACTTTGTTATATTTGAAATAGGAAGCTTATTTTTATATTAATTGCACACGAACATAAAAGAGTTTATATATTTTGCATTACAAAAAACTGGCAGAATAAAAATTTATTACTAAAAATTTTCTCATAGTGGCTGTACTGCGCAGTTTGCCTTGCCCACATTGCTTTATCCTACTACACCTAACACTGTTCTGTGCAGCAACTTGTGAGTTCCGAGTTGCCAACATGTTTAAAGTCAACACTAAAGATGTACCTACATATGTACCCTATGCCAATCAACATAGGGTAGTAAAGGTCAGATTAATATCATACCTGCTTGGGGGCCCAGACTCCCTTGTAGTCGGGGTTGTCGATCATGGGAGGCTCCCACTCGCCGTCCATCTCATCATCCCAATCTTCGGGCTTGCTGGCATCAGGGTCGGGGATGTGCTCTGGCTTGTCCCAGTCCTCAGGCTTCTTGTCCTCAGGGTCAGGAATGGTGGGTTTGTCGTCCCAGTCTTCAGGTTTCTTCGCTTCAGGGTCCTAAAGGCAAAAATATTAATAGAACATTAGTATCAATAAATTTTAATTTTATAATAGCTGTAGCTGCTTCCGAATCTTGTTGATTACTACAGCTGCCTGTACTCAAGAAGTAATTGAACTGGGAAAAATAAAACTCTACATACCTTGATCTTCTTAGGTGGTAGGAAGTCCCAGTCAGCCTCCAGCTCTCCAGATTCCACCTTTTCATTGTCAATTAGCACCTCATAAGTGTTGTCAGGTTTCACAATCAGCGTGTACAAGTGCGTGTAGACATCATCCTTGCAGCGAATGTCTTTCTTGATCAGATGGTTCTTGCCTTTGTAGCTGAAGATGACATGCACCTGGTGACAAAAGTAATCTTGTCAGTAAATATTTACTTCTATTTAATACTGGCTTATAAAATATGACAAAATTACTACAGGTTTATAGTTTTAAACAGACTAAGTTTAAAAAAAATCTGTTGAAGGTTAACCTTCGAATGAAGAAAAATAATTAACAAAATAAAATATTCCAACATATTACATACTTAGTTTTAACATATGTCATATTTAAATAATAAGCCATCAACATGAAAACTTTGAACTTGTCAGATACAAAAAATTACATATAGTAACTACTACAAAATATACAAAGTTCAAGAACATGTAAGTATTCCATTTGTATGTTGTAAAATATGTATTTTACTTATATTATGTATTTGATAGTTTTCAAATACTTAAAACATAAATGTACAGACCTAGTGGAGTAACATTGTAAATATTGCATTCTGATAAGTATATTATCACCAATTAAATAGTTGCTAGTAAAAAATTGATAAAGAAAAAAATAATTTTAAATACCACCCCTTTAATGTGACAAATTGTTTAATAAGATATTTTTTTAATATTACAATTAAATTAATTCATCAAATGGCTTCATAAACTAATGAGTATGCTGATTGCTTATTACTTAACAAACCTGTTTAAATAAATTATCTTCCAGCCATCACCTTATATCACAACTAATATATTTTAAAGACTGCAATCATTTAAAACATGTCAAAAACATGTTTTCATTGCTCAAACATCTGTATCGCTGTATCTACTTATCCCCGTTTCAAAGTGTAAGAGTAACAATATATTTCACATGCTACATGAGTGTTTTGAGAGTGGTAATTCACACTTATATTGTTAAAATGAATGTTAGTTAAATATATTAACTCACCTTTTTGGTACCAGGACCACAGATGTCAGGTCCAAACATAATTTCATAGGGAGTTTCGCCGTGCATGTCCTTCTGGTCCAACTTGCAGTCAAACACCTTCAAGTAACCACCTCCGCAATCAATATCTTGCTCATGCTTCACCGAGAATTGCACCACCAGGGGCTTGTCCTCGTTGGAGAATGGCTTGAACTTGCGCGACAGCGCGTAAAATCTCGCATCTTCTGAAGTCTGCAGACCTGGAGATGACGGTCGTTATCGGTGAGATACAAACTATAATAAATCTCTAACATTGAAATGATGAGAAAATTAGTCTGAATCATAATTAAAACAAATGTGTATGTTACAGATCGTTGAAAATAAATTAATGAAACTCGTGGCCAGTGAAATTAGAAAGGAAAACCACGTACCTTTATCTTCCTCGGGGTCATTGTAGAATTTCCCAGCGGTCAACTTAAATTTGCCGAACTCCTTGCCGGGGTGCTCACTGTACACCCAATTGGATTCCCATGATTCTGCAATGATAAAATCACTCAGAATCCATTATGACCACCGGCGTCCTAGATCAATAGCAAACGCGGCGTGCCGGCATTCTTTATTAAATATTCTCAAAAATGTTAAATCTTACCATCGGGGAATTTCTCTTCAAAATACACTTCACAATTAACAGAATAAATTGCCAGTAAACTGACAAAAGCTAACGCTAAAGCCCTCATTTTGTTATACACAGTCAGCCTCTTTCGTCAATGGATCCGCCACGAATAACTTCGAATTTTGGCGAGTTCCCTGTTATTTAATTTCTACCGGTTTGTTGCGTTGCCTGTTTGTTATC